CCCCCCCCCCCAGTTTACCTGCCAATGGCGTACTTCGCTTTGAATGCCTCCCTGTCGGCCATTCTCTTCCTGCTGAATCCCTCGGGCGAGGATGACTTTGCTCTGTCGGCTGTGGCCCCGCCGCTGCGCATGCGCGCAACTGACCAGGCCACGCCGGCCACCTCCACCGCTGCTGGGCTCGATCATCGCGGACTGCTCAGCACTGGCCTGCTTCCTGGTCGGACGGCCACCGATGCCGGTGCTGCCGGTGCCGGTGCTGCCGTCGCCGGTGCTGCCGTCGCCGGTGCTCCTGCCCTGCTGGACCTCAATTCGCCCACTGGCTACTCCCTGCTTGAGGGCACCCTTCTCGGGGGTTCACAGCTCCTGCCGGCACTCAGCCGGGCGGGCGTCCTGTCGACCGCGGCCGCCGCCCCGGCGCCGGGCGCCTCCTTCCAGCGCCGCCCGTCGATGGCGGTCGCCGGCTCCGGCCCGGGTCTCCTGCCACCCAGCCATTCGGCCTTGCAGTCGTCCCTCTTTGCCGCCGGAGCCGAGCACACCTTCTCCGGTGGCCCGGTCCCGGGGGACGCCGGTTCCCTCCCGCTGGGCGGCATGGAGGGTCATCACCCGGGTGACTCGCCCACCGGGGCCACCCCTGCCGGGCGTCTCAGCTTCTTCCCCCTCTTCCAGCCGGTGTCGCAATATCGCACCTCCACACGCGAGGATAGCCTGCCGACCGGGGAGCGTGATGCGGCGCAGGCCGCCGCCGCGGCGCAGGCCGCCGCCGCCGCGCGCGACCCTGCCATCGATGGCCTCGAGTCCACGGACTACCTGTCGCTCATTCTGCAGGAGGACAACACCGACCCGCAGGTGGCCGCCCGGCGCCTGTCGCAGGCCATCCGTTCGCTGGCCTCCTGCCTTCCGACCGCCGCCCTGGACCCGCAGCTTTCCTCCGAATGGCTTTCCCTGTCCGGAGTCGATACCCAGCTGCCCATTTGGACACAGCGCATGCGCCGCTGGCTGGCCGAATATGCCTTCATCCCACTGGCAAAGCGTATTGCCGAGATTGATTCCATTTTCCTCCACCTGGGTCTCGGCCACCTGGCCATTGCGCCCGGGTCCCGGCCCAGCCCCGGCCACCAGGCCGCCGTGGCTGCCATCCGATCGGCTCTGCTTCCGCCCCTGCCCGAGCGCTCGGAGGATTTGCTCCAGCTCCGTTTCGCCGATTTGGCTCCCTACTATGCGCAGCCCTGGATGCAGGACCGCCTGACCATCGAGCGTTACCTGGCCGTGGGGTTCGGTGCCCATGCATCTCTCCCGGCCTTCAGCAAGTTCATGGATCTCTATGCGGCTGGCTCGGACGCCGGGATTGGTGATGGGCTCGGTGCCGAGGGGACGCGACTCCCCGGCAGCGGCGGCGGCTCTCGCGGTGGCGGTGGCAACCCGAAGGCCCGGTCGGCGGCCCTCGCCCGCACGGCCTACCGCAAGTATGTGGTCGATCGGATCCTTCGCATGGCTCAGGGCAGCGTTTTGTCGGAGTTCATCCACCATGACTCGCCTCGGCGTCCGGGCCAGGCGGCCGACCTGGCGCCTGGTGCCGGGAATTTCCACTCGTCAATTGCAACCGCTAGCGCTGCTACCGGCGGCACGTCCGGCGGCACCAACCAACGCAGCCAGCTTTTGTCCGCCTCCTTTGGCAGTGGCATTGCCTCTTGGTTTGGCTCGTCTGCCGGATCCGATGCCGGTGACTCTTCGGCCGGTCGTGGTCGCCAGGGTACCAGCATTGAGACGCCGCCCGAGTGGTTCCCCTCCGATGCGGAAGTGCGTGCTCACGGCTTCCTGGCTGCCTGCCATTAGTCCCATCCTGCTTTGCGCCTTCCTGATCAGCCCCCCCTCCCCCCCCCCCCCCGCCCCCACTCACCATCCATGTCCCTTTCCCCAGATTGTCCTTCACATCTTCGCCACGCTCATCGACGACACGCTCCCGCCGCTGGCTGTGCACGGCTACTCGGCCTCGGCCTCGGCCTCGGTGCCGGCGCTTGGCTCGGCCACCGCCCCGGCCCCGCTTCTCGGCGTGGCCGGCGGCGGTCTGCTCGGTCGGTCGCCGACCATGGCCACCACCGCATCCACCGGCTCCGGCTTCAATTCGGTCAATGCCTCCGGCTTCACCGGTGCCGGGTCGACCTTCGGCGGTGGTTCCACCGCTGGATCGACCTTCGGCGGCGGTTCCTCCACTGCCGGATCAAGCTTCGGTGGTTCGTCAGTCGCCGGCTCGGGCTCCTCCTTTGGTGGCGTCGGCTTCGGGGGCACACAGTCGCAGCCGCAACTGCCCACTGTGGTTGAGAAGCGTCTCGGCTTCTCGGCGCGATTCGTCACTCCGGACAGCTGGACCCCGCATGACATTGTTGCGCACACTCTCAGTGCCGCGGCCACTCCGGCCGGGCTGTGCAGCACTTCGGTGTCGGCTTTGCTCCCGGAAGCCGGGCAGCAGCAGCAGCAGGCGGCTCGTGCGGCCGGGCTTGACACGCCAGATGCCGGCACCCCCTCGGTCCTTCCCTCGCCGGCGCGTATCTTCATGGTCCGTCGCTTTGTGGTCCCCCTGTCATCGAAGGCCACGACCGAGTCGGCCCCGACGCCGGCGGCCGCTGGCTACACCGCCGGCTCCGGCAGCCCCTACCAGCCGCAAGACCTGTACCAGCAGCATCACCCTCAGCAGCAGTCCCAGATGTATGGCACTTCCGGCCGGCAGTCTCTCAACCACGGGACCGGTTATCCGGGTCTCGGTGCCTATTCCACCTTGTCCAATGGTGGTCACTCCTTCCAGCATGGTGTCTCGGCCTCGCAGCTGTCGTCGCAGCACACGGCCCCGGCCGGGGGCGAGCATTTTGCCCGGTACAGCCGCTCGGGCAAATCCTCCACCACCACCGCCGGGTCTCTGGCCACCAAGCAGCGTGTCCTGGCCCCGCACTATGTTCTGGTGGTGGCTGGTCGGGTGTGGCCCACGCCGATTGGCTCGGCCAACATTTTCCAGACCCTGGTCCTTTGGCTCCTCTGGGTCCGGGAACATTCGTCCGGCCACATTGGCCAATTTTCTCTGGCCGGTCGCCCGCTCGGCCTGATGGAGATCCTGGACTGAGCATGAGGCCCATAGGCCGCAGGTGGTCATCCTTCCCTGCTGTCGCCTGCTCGCATCTTCGCTTTCTGGGTGTCTGTGCTCCGCCCCTCTTGTCCTTGCCCCGGCGGCTTGCGCGCACCTCCCACCCCCCCTTCTTCAGCCCTCCCCTTGTTTTCTCCCCTTCCAACATTAATACACTCCCCTCCTCCTTTCACGCCTCAGCAGGGACACGTGTTTACGCAAGCAACAGGCAGGATGCACTCGTGTGGAAGGTGGGCAGCGGGTGGATTCCAGGCTGACGCCAAGCCGGTCGGCATCTACTGCCTGTCAAGTTGTTGGGTGATGGCACTCGAGGCTGGCTCAAAAAGGCCAATCATGTGTCCATCGGGCGAGCGAATCGCGGCCACCTTGGGGTTCGGCGAGGGGGGAGGTAAGGGGGAAGCACAAAGCCAACATTAGAGGCGTGAGGTGCTGGGCCCGAGGAAAGGGGGAATACGCACTCGACCGGTGATTGGATACTTGATGGGACCATCCATCCGACCGCCAAGCATCATAGCCTGTTGAACTGCATGGTCCATGTCTGGCACGGTGAAGTTGAGAAAGGTGCTATACCCGGCAGTAGCGGCAGCCTCGCTGGAGGGCGGAGATGCGTCAACACACGCACATGGACAAGTGTAAATATGCACACACACACACACACACACACACACACACACACGGACACACACACACACACACGGACACACAGGACTGTCAGCTTGGCGGGCATAGAGCTTCAGGCATAGAGATCATCCACGCACTTTTCGGCTGCCGAGATGACGATGCTGATGCCCGGCCCACCGGTTGAGGAGCCAGCGTCGAGTTCGGCCCAACCGCCAGCTTCCCGGGTCTCGGCAACCACCCGCAGCCCGAGAACCGATTGGTAGAAATGCACAGACGTCGGCACGTCGCGGGAGAGAAGCATAACGTGCCGAAGAGTAGAGCGCGCCGCCTGGAAGGCCATCTTCAAGAGAAACAGGGGTCCAGAGGGGGAAGGGGAGCAAGGGACGAGGGAGTGGGAGGCGGCGGGGCTGGGCGGCGGGGGGGGCTCGGGGGGGGGAGGAGGGAGGGGCTAGCGTGGCAACGAGGGAAATCTACAGGCCATGATCTCTCGTGGGCTGGAGCACCACACCAGGACCAGCTGTGGGCGTGGAAAAATACCCCTCCAGATGCCAACGCAGTTCCCCGCCAGGCGTCCGTCCTTTGGGCTGTGGGCGGGGACGACCTGCGCGAGGGATCATGCCCGGAGCTCTGAGAGGGCGAGAGCCTGTGTATGCGCATGCGCGCATGTGCATGTGCATGTGTGTGTGTGTGTGTGTGTGTGTGTGTGTGTGTGTGTGTGTGTGTGTGTGTGTGTGTGTGCGTGTGTTTGTGTATATTGTTCGACAGTCGGGGGAGTTGGCGTTGAAGCTGGACCTCGCACGTGGGGGGAAGGAGGTGCCACTACGCGTCCGGGGCGCCAGCTGGTTCTTGGTTTGGTGAGGGAGGGGACGGGTTGCCGCTTGCGTGAAGCTCCAGCAGGGACTCTAGGATGTCTTCCCCCCCGTCGGTATTTGAACCGGGTGGAGATGCGACGGGCGCCTCTCCGGCAACCAAATCGGCGGCTCTGGTGCGTTGGCGTTTTCTGGCTTGCTCGTACAACCGGAAAACGGCCCTCGGCACAACCAAACACCCGAGGTCCTGGGTGGCCGGGCGCTTTGCCCGGCCCAGAGACGAGTGGATTTCCTGGCGCGCGGATTCACTGAAAAGCATGCGAGAGGGAGAGCGACAAAGGGGCGGGGAGGATGTCAGCGCGTGCCGGGGGTGATTGGCGGAATAGCCAGGAGGGAGAAAGGCCAGGACGACAAGGATGGCCACGTACCGTCGCAGCAATGTCTCCAAGAAGGCCATGCGGATGTCACTCTCGGCCAGTCGGTGCACGCGCAGATCCTGCGAGTAGGTAAGGTGCTGGGTGGCCAGACCGGAGCCACGGCGCCGTTGCCGCCCGGAGCTCCCCCCACCAGTGGGATTATAGAAGGCCAGGGGCCCAGGATCGAGGCCGTCAAACATGGCCGCCGTGGCAGCCGGAAGATCTTGAATGATCTCCAGTCCATAGGCCGGCTCGCCGATGGTGCACCCGCCGCCGAGACCAGCCCGTGCGGCCAAGCCAGCCGCCACCACCGGCCCCCCGGAGGGAAGTGACCAGCGAGAGATGGCACGCTCGCGTGCGGCGCCTGCTCGACCGACGCCCGTCCCGGCGGCAGAGGCACCACTGCCGCCGCCCCGGACCACGATGAACCCCTCGATCGGGGGACAAAGGCGGTTGCGAGGTCGATAGGTGCTGGTGTTGTGCACGACCACGGACGATCCGGCGCCGCCGGCGTGGCCGCCGGAATCCTCCGACGCCAAGAGCACCGTGGCTGCATGGAGTGGACAGCGCCAGCGCGTCGTGTCAGAGGGCAGGGTTGCCAACGGGGGCAGACACTCGGCATGCCAGCGGCTACCGCAGGCATCGCAAACCAAATGCAAGCGGTCCGGCCGGAAATCCCGACATGCGTAGCATGGATACCCGGCCGACCGGGTATATGAGGGCCCAAAGGCCAGGCCGACATTCCCACTGTGTGACGCCGCCCCGGTCAGGCTCTGGATGTAGGTGGTGGTGGCAGCGGAGGAGAGGCCACCGCTGGACGACAGGCCCGAGTCTGAAGAGCCGTCCCCGGCCCCGGGGGCCAGTTCCGGCGAGCTGGGATCCGGCTGCTCGGGGTGCCGGTCGCCAGTAGATGGCAGCGCGGGCGAAGGATGCGCCACATGTAGCAATGACGGCGCTCCGGACGAGGGGTCCGCATCGTAGGACCGGCTGGAGTAGGTGGTCAGGTAGCCGGACCCGCGGGCAGCCGATTGCCCGGCAGGTGTCGCCGACCCGACGACAATTGTGTTGTTATACGATGCATCTGGCGAAATCCACTCGCCATTTCTGCCAAAGATCGAGAAAGAGAGCGAGGGGGCGAGGGGGCGAGAGAAGGAGAGAAGGAAGAACGAGGCGGAAATGGAAGGGGGGGAGAGCATGGGCAGCCGGGAGGAGCGTATGTGCGCGTTTGCAATCGCGCGCGTGTGTGTGTGTGTGTGTGAGAGAGAGTGAGAAAATCTGCGCGCGAAAGGGTATTTGCAAGGAGGGGAGGAGCCAGCAGCCGGGAGGAAGAGCAGGACACGCACCGGAAATTCCCCTTCCGGTCATAGTCATCCCGGAAGGCCCCGCTCAAGGGGTCCACATTGACTGTGGGATGATTCGGCAACGGGAGGCGGGTGGGCGCGCGGTCCAAGGTCAGGCCGAATGCACGGGTGCGTCGAAGAGGCGTCCAGCAAAAAAGGAAGAGAGAAAGAGAGAAAAGAGCAAACACAAATGGGCCTGATGGAGCGACGAACCACCGCAGTAGAAGAACTTAATGCCGTCTGGCAGCGAGTAGGGTGTCGGGTTTTGCGGGTAAATTCGCTCGATCATCTTGATGAAGCCAAAGCGGTCGGGGCGTGGTTGCTTTGGCAAAGGGAACTACCGACGAAGGAGGGGGAAGGAGGGGGGGGGGGAGGAGGAGAAAATTAGCATGGTGTCATGCTGAATGGGTGTGCCCTTGGCTCCGGCATGTGTACCATTTCGGCGAGGCAGGCATTGCAATACCAGTTTCCCTCGGGGATTTCGCTTTGCTCGACTGGCGGGTTGGCACACACAAAGTGGAAAGACCGGGGACAGCGGTCACAACAAAGGAATGTCCCCGGACCACGGCAGCAGTCACAATACTCATTATTCATGGACTACCACCGGCAAAGGGCCACATGGACCGAGTGGCGTTAGAAAAGTTCGGCGCAGGCAGCGGGCATGCGCCAAACAAATGGACAAGCTCGGGTGGGGTGGGGTGGGGTGGGGGCAGGTGGAGAGGCAGGAACGACGCGAGGCATGTACATGGTGATCGTCGGAGTCCGAGTCGGAAGATGCCGGTGTCTGGATGAGAGCGGAGGTGGCCCGGCTGCTGGTGCGCCGCCGGGCACCAGCCACGTCGGCAGTGGTGTCCGCTGCCGCAAGCGCCCGCGAGGTGTCGGATGGGGCATTCTCCGCCAGGATTCGCCGGACCTCGGCACTGTCACGGTAGATCCGAAGCGCCGGGTCAACAGTCGGGTCCAGGGACAATGTGCTCAAGAAGGAGCCAATCAACTGCGGCGACTCGCACAGCTGGCGCAGCCGGCGAAGATCATTCCGACCCACGGAATTCAGCGGCGCCGGATGGAAGAGGTCAACCCCGCCGGCAGGGGTGGCGGCGGCGGCCGAGTCGCCAATCCCGGACCCGGCGCATGCCATGGCCGCCGCCACCGTGGTGGCTACAACATGCGGATCGGGCACCGTACTAAAGGACCCGGAGGAGATGGCCTTCAGTGCGGTGGCCAGCTGTTCAGTGGTATTAAGCGTGGAGGGATCGATGGAGCCAGCCGGCCCGGTGGCCGAGTCCAGGCCAGCCAGCCGGGCGATCGCCGAAAAGGCCACCGAGGCCGAGGCCCCCCCCACGGGCAAACTCAAGCCCGAAGATGAGAGGGACATGTGAGGGGAGAAAGGGGCGGCCACCTCGGCACCCGGGCCGGTGGTTGCGGCAGGCGCCCCGGCCGCCATTGCCGACGGGGCAGCAGGTCCGGCAGACCCGCCAGCCATTGAGGAGATGCCACCTGGGCCCGGCCCGGGGGTGTCGGCAGAAGTGGCCCCATTGGCGGCATCGCTACCCGGGCGCTGGTGGCGTAGCCGGAAGGACGCACGCGTGGGAGAGGCATTCCGCGGCGAGGTGGGGTCTGGCAGGATGATACGCCGGCGTGTGGCACGAGGAGTTCCCGGCCGGGAGGCGACATTCGTCACGGAGACCACCGCAGCGGGGGCATTGGCCGCTTCTGCCACGGGAAGGGTCTGGGCCGGCGGGGTAGCTCGAGTGGGGTGCTCCGGCATGGAAGCCGGGCCGGGTGCCGGCTCGGGGGCAGAGGCAGCCCCGGAGTCCGGAGCGGTCACCGGGGAAGAGGCCCGTTCTGCCGGGACAACCACCGGCAAAGGGGCCCCGCTGTCCGCAAGGATGGGAGTGGCCTGTCGAGGGGCCGGACCGGCTGCAGCCAAGAGCATGGCCTCGCGAGCCTGCGCTCGGGCGGCACGCGAGGAGAGAATCCGCGTCGGGGCCAGGGCGGGCGAAGTTTCCGTCGAGCTGGGCGCGGTGGTTGCGGAGGCTTTGGCCAGAGAGAGAGAGAGAGGACGTCGAGTTAATGGGGAGGAGGAGACGCGACGAAGAGCACAGCAAGTGGCGGATGTACCCGGCAAGGAGGGCGACGGGCCGGAGGGAAGTGCGCTACTTGAGGGCACGTGCGGGGAAGCCGAAGCCGAGGAACTCGGGCTAATGGAAAACTTCAGCATGAGAGGCTGCTGCGGCGAGGGGCTCGCATTGCCGCTGCCACCGAGGAAGAGTTTGGCAAGTTCCGGGGGACTCCCACGCGAGGGGGGCGAGGCGCCGGACGCGTTGGGCGTCGGGGCGTCGTTACCATCGCTGGCGAGCGATTCGTTCGCCGGCGGACCCGCCGGCTCCTGGGCCATGGCGAGGCGCGGAGACCGGGGCGGCAATCGAGAGGGAGGCAGCTTCGCGACGAGTGGAGTGGCACGGCTTCCGGAGCTGTACCAAGTGTCAGATCGGGCAGAGGGGCAGAAGCAAAGACACAATTGGGAACCAGCGTCGCAAATGGAACGCACCTTGCCAGCAACCGAGGTCGTCAGGTAGCACTCAGAGTAGATTGCGCAGCTGGCGAGAGCAAGGCAGACACCCGCACGCAGGCGCGGTACGAACAGGGCCCAGAGAGAGGGGGGGGGGG